GATTTTGTTTTTTAACAACACGTGTAATTTATCTATGTAGGCAGAAAGATTGCAAAAATTGCTTCGTACTAAGTAAATATAATGGACAACGATAAGATGTCCCATCCAGCAAAAAATTTTATGAAACAGTTTATAAAATAATATATATATAGCGACACCCAATAAAACTCAAATGAAACCAGAAGGGGCATGTTTGCTTGCAGTACAAACACAAATGTGCTTTAGTTTCAGTTATTCACCTGCATTATTGCATTGCTAGATAAATGAAATGTCAGCAAAATTGTTATTTTTTTATTTATATAAGAATGTAAGTATTTTTCCTACCAAATACGTAAAAAGTGAGAAAATTTAATGGAAAGATTTCAACGTTTGCATTTGACAGGCCAATGGGAAATGATAAGCTGCATATTCCTTTACATCAAATTTGGCTTTCATTATTACAAAAGTTAAATGAATAATGGCTATACACTAGAAACAATACTAACTAAACAGCATTTTGTGGCACCCCCTTGTGCTGCTTTAGATGTCTGTTAAGCTTAATTTTCAAGTCAAAGGACCTGCCGCAAATGTAACACGAGATGTAAGCTTTTTCTGGCACCTGCTGGGCGGCGCTAGCTATTTGGGCAGAGCTGTCTTTTTGGACGATGCTTACTTCAGACTCGATGGTTGGCTTCTTGGTTATCTCTGTAATGGGCGAGGTAAGCATTGCCTGAGTGGTCTTACTCACTGGTGACTTGTTTTCTGAAGAGCGACGTCTCTTTCTTGTCTTTGTGTGACTGGCCAGCACATGAGCCTGCAGCTGCTGGTCCTCTTCAAATGTGTCGCTGCAAAACGCGCACTTAATGACACGTTCAGTTGGCACGGATGATGGTGAAGCAGATGAAACAGGAACTTCTACGTTTGCAGGTTGGTCCGTCGAACACTGAATGTCCGCAGGATTGGAAGTCTCTATTGCAGGAACACTGAAGTCCTCGGTAACATTAGAATCTTCAGGAACAGTGGGTTCCCCAGGAATATTAAAGCCCTCAGAAGCAGCGGTGTCTTCAGCAACACTGCTCTCCAGTGCAGGTGCAAAAGATAACTGCGGAGATCGTCTGCCTTGTTGATTGACTGGAAGTTTCTCCAATAATTTCAGATGCTGTGCAAGTTCGGCTTCACCCTCTACGCATACAATATAAAGTTAATAAAATGAAATTGTTGCCATTCTTCTTACTAACCTTCTAAGTGCTTTTTCAAATGTGCTGGTAACGTTGCGTTTTTCACAGCTGCAAAGGCAAACGTGTTTAATTTATTTTATGATTGAGGATATTGTACTCACTTTTGCCACAGTAATTGCACTTGGTGCGTACGTGCACAGCCTGCCTGTGCTCCTTGAGAGTATCTTTGGAGTTGCAGATGAACCCACAAACGGGGCACTTAATGTGGCGCTGTAACTTGTGATACTTTATGTGGAACTTGATGCGGGATTCTTGGGCATTTATGAATTTTTTGCCGCAAATATGGCATTCCCAGTCCTTGAGGAGATGGGTGCGGCGCATATGGTCCAGATGCGCATCCTGGTCGGGAGATTCGTAATAGCATAGCTTACAAGACACAACCGGCGAGTAAATCGGAGGCGGAAGCGGGGCTGTCGCATCGTTGTCATCATCGTATGTAAATCTGACTATCTCCTCATCCTCCTCTTCCTCTTCGGTGCCATTGTCGGCCGTCCCAGATTCATCCTCAATAGATGGCGAAAACATTCCGGACGTTAATGCATCGTTGTCTATCATATCGAAACCGGAATCGCCAGGCGACTCAAAATCTTTGGGATCGGGTGGCTGAAACTTGTCATCATTTTGCACTGGCACTCTGGCCATATGCTCCTCCTTAATGGGCACATGCGGTATGTCGAAGGCGGCGCATACGCGTCTACTACCATCCTCGTCGCTGATATCCTCCTCGTCAGTATCCAGATATATGAATCCGCAGAACTTCTCCTCCGGCTCAATTTCCCGTTTAATAACGATCCCATTATGTTCGCGCTGGTACTCGAGCTCGCTAAACTGCTCCTGTGTCTCCACACAGCTGTGCTTGAATTTAAGCAGCCGGTGAAACTCGGCAATGCAGGCGATGCACATGTACTGCGGTCGTCCGTCCTCCCTCGCAACCTTTGGGACATAAGTTAGGAACACATAGTACGATTCAATGATTACTCACCTGTATGTTCCAAGCACTCATCTGTTCGAGGATCTCCGCCATGCTTGCGACGGCGGCGTCATCCGAGCCGAAAATAGGCTTCACAATCGCCTGGTCCATGTCCATTCCCATGGTAAAGTAAATTCCGCATGTCCGGCAGGGTTCGATGGAGTCCTCATTGAAGCCATTCAGATCCGCACTGAATTCCATTGTGCGCTAGCATATATACAATTTTCAAAGGAGTACGTTCCACAAAGCGACCATTTATCTTTTTGTTATTTTGTGAAATTGGAGGTGGATCATTTTTGCAGTGTTGCAAAATCATGTCGGTCGATAGTGAAGGATTGGGGGTGATAGTGATGCTGACGATAGATAATTAGCTACTAGATATTACTGATAATAGCTAGAAGTTTGATTTTTGTATAGCTAAATCGTTATATTCAAAACAGCACTGTGGATCATTTGAAAAAAACACCAGAATAGTTATTTGTCTGTGCGGACAATAATAATATATATTTTGCTTTTTATGGTATGAACTAAGTTTGGTTAAATTTTAATTTAATAAGGTTACTTAGTTGTAACGTTACTGCACTGTGGATCATAGCTTGAAAAACACCAGAATAGTTATTTGTCTGTGACAATAATAATATAATTTGCTTATATATGGTATGAACTAAGTTTTGCATAAATTTTAATTTAATACGATTACTGAGTTGTAACGTTAATAATAATAATAACAAGTTCATAAAGTTCTAAAGTTAAGAAATATCTTGATTTAGTGGATCGTCGTAAGTCATCGAAAGGTATCGACTAACCGCCCGGCCACTTATCGGTGATTTTCAACACTGTGTCATTGTTTTTATACGAAAAAAAACACAATCATCCGCCGTCCGAGAAATTGTTTTCCTGCCTGCCCAGCAACTGTATCGGAAATCGCCAGAGCCCGGGCTTCCAGCATCCCCGGAGAGTGCAATGAACCTCACAGAGCAAAACCCATATGGAAACGGCCTGCTGTACGCAGCCTTTAATCAAGACCAGGGTACGTACATACGTGCGGATGTGTGTTGTTTACATATACATTACCTTATCCGTATAATATAACTGGCCTATTGCGTTGCAGGATGTTTCGCCTGCGCGACGGACACGGGATTCCGGGTCTACAATTGTGATCCGCTGAAGGAGAAGGAGCGCCAATACTTTCCAGAGGGTATAGTTGTAAAAGAGAGAGAGTGCGGGAGACTCCCACGGCCTAAAACCAATTCCATTGTCTAAAATTTAGGTGGTCTCAGCCATGTGGAGATGCTGTTTCGCTGCAATTACTTAGCACTGGTTGGAGGCGGCATCCGGCCGCTGTACCCGCCCAACAAGGTGATCGTGTGGGATGACCTGAAGAAGTCCCCGGCCATATCGCTGGACTTCAATCAGCCCGTGCGTGCGGTACGACTGCGTCGGGATCGCATCGTGGTCGTGTTGGAGGGAGTGATTAAGGTGTTCACATTCACTCAACAACCACAGCAGCTGCACGTGTTTGAAACAAGCTCAAATCCCAACGGGCTGTGTGTGCTGTGCCCGCACAGCAACAAGAGCCTCCTCGCATTCCCCGGCCGTCGAACTGGCCACGTTCAAATTGTTGATCTGGCTAACACAGAGCGGGCACCGCTTGAGGTGATCGCCCACGAGGCTGGTATCAGCTGCATTGCCCTGAATCTGCAAGGTACGCGACTGGCAACCGCCGGGGAGAAGGGCACTCTCATTCGTATCTTTGATACGGAAAGCGGCAAGAAGGTGTCGGAGCTGAGGCGCGGAAGCAACCACGCCAACATCTTCTGCATCAACTTTAATCACCAGTCCACAATGGTGGTCGTCGCCTCTGATCATGGCACCATACACGTCTTCAACCTGGAGGACAACAAGCCCCGTGAATCCTCGCTGCCCATAATACCGAAGTATTTCTCGAGCCAGTGGAGCTTTGTCAAGTTTTCGATACCCCAGGGACCTCGTTGTGTATGTGCCTTTGGCGCCGATCCCAATTCGGTTGTGGGTAAGTTGGAGCTGGAGCAGATCCTTCTCTGGGAATCTGGGAATTCTGTAATCGACATTTTGTTTTCTCATCCAGCCATTTGTGCAGACGGCCACTATTATAAATTCCTATTCAACAACAAGGGCGAATGCAGTCGAGATATCTGCACACAATTCCTTGAGCTGCAAGACGATGAGACCTAGAAACCAAGTCCGACTGTTGCGAACGCCTTTGATGCATCTATACAATTATATATCTCCATGGAAATGTGTTATACAATATTACTTATAAGCATGCTTTAAAATACGTTAAAAGTCGAGTTCACATAAAAGTAGTTAAACCTTGAGACAAGATTGTGGATATTTATATTTTATTTGAATCATTCACCGATAATGCTTATTTAATTTTAATTTAGCCTTCATTTAATGCATTGTTACGCCATCTGTAATTTAAATTACTGAAAATTATTTTTGTTCCTCTTCTTTATTCCAGTTTGGGAATTTAAACTTTACTCATTCATTTTTAATGAAGTTGAGCTTATCGTTTTTGGTCATCGGACTCTAAATTCTTTATAAGTTAAAGAGGCATTGCTCATTTCATTACCATTTCCGTCAGTTATGGTATAAAGTCTTTTCTGATAAGTAACCCTTTTCAAGAAATGGTATCTTTGTTATCCACGAACTTTTAATTGAATTTAGATAAAGGTTGGTAGTGAATCAGTACAAAGACGCTTCTTCAACCTTAAAATAAAATAGGCTAAATCCATTTGGAATTAAACATGTTACATAAAAACCAGGTCATATACATAAAACTAAATTGTTAAGTTTATTTCTCAGAAATATCACTGGAATGTTAAGCACTTTTAAATAATGTTTAGGTGATGACACAGTCCACAAGCAGCTCCTCACAAATGTGTGGTGTTGCTCTCCTCGAAAGCCGGATTGGCCATCCCAACTCCTGCTGTTCTTCCGTTTTGGGAACGCGGCGTAAAGTCGCTCTGTTGCAAATGGATTATCTTTGCCTGCTGCTGCGATGTGATGGGCACTTGGAAGTTACCTTGCATATTAATGGTATTCCCGGGGAACTCTGCTTCATTCTTGATGGGTAACTTGTTGCTGGGCTGCTTGCGAAGCAGATTCATATCGGATTTCTTGGAGAAATGAGCTTCAATTTCCTAAAAAAAAAATTTGTTCAAAAGAAAGATTATATTTTACATAAATTTCTAACCACATAAGTAACTAAAGATTAATTGTATACTTACACCCAGTGTGCGGCCTTCGGTCTCTGGAAGCGTAAAGTACAAGACAATGGTTCCAAAGAAGGCCACACTGGCATAAAAAGCGAATGTTCCGGGCAGAGTTAAGGCACTCAGCATCACCAGGAAGAGTTTGTTCGCCAGGAAGCCAAATATATAACCCACACCACCGGCAAAACCCGATGCAGAATTACGAATCTCAGCCGGAAACACCTCACCAATGAGAATCCACGGTATCATTCGTATACCTAGATGAGAGAAGAAGGCGGAGAGTAGTAGGAGGATGAGTGGCACCCAGACCAGGTAGTTGTGTTCCTGTTTCGGCACCACCAGCAGAAGTTCCTCCACAAGGGGTGGTTTTGACGAAGTCGAGGGTGGTGGCAGCGATGAAGAGGCTATCGGTTCCGCACTGCTCGATGGCTCAGGCCACATGGTGGTGTCCATTGGTACATCGGTGGTCGTCATTTCATCCACCTCCCTCTTACTGCGATTAAAAATTTCCTGATCGAAGATTGTAGTTGTTTCCATGTCGGGTAGTTGAGTAGTAAAGCGCTCCGTTTCCTGCCTGATGGCCTGTTGCTCTGTCTCGAAGATCCTGGATATATTTTGCTGTGAAAGAATCCCCTCTTTGGGCATAATTGACGAGGCATTAACCACCACGTTGTTGACGGTGAATCCCGGCACTTCACTCAAGAAATGGGCATAGGTTGCTGTGCCAAAGAAGCACAGGCCGGTGCCCACCGTTGAAACCAGCACCAGAGGTCTTTTTCCGGTGAAATGAATTAGGGCAACGCCCAGGATGGTGGCCAGCATCTCAGCCACTCCCAGAAGAATAGTGGCGTGGTACTTGTTCATCGGAGCCTTGAGGGTGTGGAAAATCTGCACAGCATATGTTTGCAGTGGGGTCTTTCCGGAAAAGTGACCCGTGAAAAAGGAAAACGAAACCAGAAGGAATGGCACCAGAAAGCTGCGTTTCCGCCACATCCTCAGCCGTTGACCCAGAGTTCGTCGTTGACCCGGCGGAGGAATTCCATCCGCCGACAGTTCGATGGCCTTCTGGGTGATTAGTTCATCATAGAGCTGATTGAACTCCGCCTCGATCATATGCTCCGGAACCCAACCACGTAACCATTGCAGAGATTTCACGGCCTCCCGGAAACGCTGTTCCCGGATCAACCAAACTGGACTCTCGGGCACAAAGCACAGCATTATTATGGTGATCACCGGAAAGGCCGAGCTCACCGCCGCCACACTTCGCCAGTCCATCAGGGATCCCAGGATGAATTGAATGAAAACGCCGGTGATGACACACGTAGTGCCCAAAGCAGACAATATGCCACGGTATTTGGGCTCCGTAATTTCCGCCACATAGGTGAGCACCTGCAATAAATCAACGAGGTTAGCTGTTAGTGGAGTTCGTTTTCGTTTATTTAAAATATGGTTTACAAAGATTTATCTCACTTCAAACATTTCTTGTTTGCAAGTTAACCCGCTAAATCGTCAGACAAATTCTAAACTTCCGGCGGAAAGACAGCTTTAAGAAGAAGACCTGGATGTCAAAATTGAATGATCAGTTAAAAGAAACATCTTTCTTCTTAACGATTACCTTATTATTTACTTAGTTTATTAAGATGATGAATCAGGGGGTTAATAGTTAAGTACCAGCAGCTTGTGGCAATCTGAAGTGCCAAGTTTCAAGACAACCACTGTTCTCAAGGAGCTTGGCCAAGGTGAACAATTGTGGCAGGTGAACTATGTGGGTCAGTGTATGCAGTCGTGGAGACAATCGACAATTGACATAAACATACTGAACTTTGCAATCGCAGATGCTACTTAATGGCCTTGTGTGATGAACTTCTATGCAAACTGCTTAGTTTTGGGGATCACATATCCCCTGGCAAAACAATGATCAAAATCAGCTTTAGTGAGTATTTTTTAGTTCCCACGAAAATCGACGCAATCCGTGTAATCTTAGAGTAATTTAAGCATACAAATTGCAATCATCCGCAGCAAATAGAATTCCAACGTGAATAGCATCACTTTGAGTTTAGACACTGTGAAAGATGAAACTTTTGTGGTTTTTAGTGATTGTAGCCGAACTGAAAAGTCGTACTTGCAATACTGTATTCCGAACTCGATGGCCAACATATGTCCAGAAAAAACACTATAACAATCCAGTAAAGGTAAGAAATTCACTGTATGTAAAGGGATTTTCTAAGAAAAAATATCATCATTTAAAGCCACCCGATTACTGCAATTCCGGCATTTGTCCGTCAAACAAGAAGCACATCACCTGTGGCATTCAATTTGTGAGTACCCGCATTGATAATCGCAGCTATCAAATAAATGGCTAGTTAAAATGGCTTGTTAACAATGGCATACATTTTCAGTGGTCTCCGAGATGCGGTAAAAACCACGAGGGCGTTAGGATGAGCGATTATCGGTCTGATATCGTGAGGAATGTGAACAACTTCCGGAAGAAATTGGAGTGGGGCCTGGGGAATCTGCCCAGAGCGGCCAAATTCAAGGACATCAAATGGGACGATGAGCTGTCCGTGATGGCGATGCGGGTCTCCAATCAGTGCTACGAGCACTCCCACGCACCCTGTGTGAATACGTTCCTCTACACGGACGTGGGCGAGTCCTCAGACTTCGTTAAGGTAGACAAAATTTCCAAGGGCTTCAACGTGATCAGCTTCCTTAATATGTGGTTCGATTACCACAAGATGATGAAGCCCAAATATGTGCAGAGCTTTCCCAATGTTGCCCCTCAGGACCACCTTATCGTCTTCGCCAATTTAATCTACGAGAAGAACAAGAAGATCGGCTGCGGAATGCTAAAGTCCGGGAAAGGGCGGTACTTGACCTGTCTCTTCGATAAGAAAATCAAGCCGTACGATAGGCTCTACACGACTCGAGCGGATGCCGCATTTCGCACTAGTCTGAATATAACCACGAAACTGCACTCCTACGAAGAACGATCGCTAAAATTTAATAATAATAGTACAAAAGCAATTGTAAGGACCGCTAGCATTTGAATTGTTGGCAACTTTGTTTACCCTGGTGCTTTCAATTGATATGCCTAGCACATTAAAAGCCCGAGTCAGCTGATGTCTTCAACAAAATATTCATTCTTTTTACCTGCAACCCGATAAAACCGGATAGCTATGATTCCAACTAATTCAGCGGTTACAACAGCTTGGCGTGAAAATTCGCAGTGTCGAGGCTCGAAAGTGATCCCCCTTACGATGGGAAACATGCCAATGAATAGATAAACAAAGAGTTTTGGGGGGAGTGGATATGGGCACTCCGCTCGCACGTGAGAGGTAAAAACCAAATACTATTATTAGTGCGGTTGGGGTTGGGATTCACTTACCGGCGCCTCCATTAATCCGCCACCGAGACCAGCCAAGCATAAAGCCGCATACAGGTGCTCCGTGCGCGTCGCAAAGTGAAACATCAGCCAGGCGGCCAGAATCGGCAGGTTGACAAACTGCAAAAGCCAAAGGAAGTGGGTGGGTGAGTGAGTTCGAATGGATCGGCACCAGTGGATGAACATAATTGCATAAGCACCACAATGTCACGCAGCTCGATTCCAGTTCAGTGTGCCAGTGATACGATCGCTGCGATCGGTAATCGGAGGAGCACCTGATGAGCCGCAGATGATTGCGGTTAAGTGGGAAGCTTGCAATTTGTATCTTTTTAGGTGTGTGCCAAAAAAAATTACACCCTCAGCTAAGGCTAAAATTGCTCAATCGATGGGAGAAGTACAGAGCAATAGCTTGGCTTTTAATTTTTTATTGGCATAACACCAGATTATTTGACTAACCTGCATGGCTCTTCGTTTGCCCAGTGGCTGCGTTAGAAGTCCAGAAAAGAGGCATCCCAGTGGCACACATATCAGGTTAATGGAGCTGAACCAGGAGATCTCGTCCTTGTTTAGGACTATATCGCCACTGGTCTCGGTGCGTCCCTCGCCGCCCTGAATGGCGGGTATCACGATTGTGGGGAAGCCCAAGGTCATGCCATACCCTTAAAACAAGCACGAACAGTTGTTGTTTCGATATAGCAATCAATATAAACTAAGTTATACTATTGATTCCATGTTAGGGGAGTGAAATCGAAGTTAAGAAGCTTAGCAAAAAGTCAAGAAATGTTAATAATACAGCAGCATTGTTTGGAGAACCGAGTTAGCTATACTTTATTAATATTGTTTTTTTGCTTAATTTGATTTGGTGTTGAGCTACTAACTCAACAGCAAAATGATAAATGTTTTTAGCAAAAGGGGTCTGTTAATGTTCGAATAATTACTTGCAGTTTCGTTTAATCACTAACTTTAATTATGATTAATATGCATGAATAAGACGCAAGTTTTTACGAGGATATAAAACCAATCAGCTGTGGTTTCCTGAATTTCATTCCCCTGGGAATCTGGGTAGCTGGAAGATGTGTGTTATTTACCGAATAGCAATATGTTCTTAATACTAACAGCTAGAAACTGTGGGAGGGCGCGTCGGAAGTTGCTGACTTCCACATCGCTGGTCGCAATACGACCGCCGTTGCTGTTTTGCATAAACAATGGACGATCGTTCAGCGAGCTGCAATGGAAAAGTGTGTTTTTTCATTCGATTAATTTCAGCAGGCAATTAACTACGGTTTATTGTCTGAGCGGGAACTCTGTAGTACATATTATGCGATTTTACCCGTTTTTCTCAGCTGCTGCGCCAGCTGTGGCAGCCTTGCCATTGGACATCACTGCGTATACTTGATGCGCTGCGTATACTTAATGCACCTTTCTGTTTGCTCAAGTGGCTGCTAGTCTTTGCCTTGTGCGCAAGGTTTTTGTATACCGATCAAACTGTGGCTCTTTTCACTTAGTTGGGAATCATTTGGCCATTGTTATTGACACTTATCATTATTTATCGATGGTTTCGACGGAGAGCGCTAAGTGGCAAAACCTTTCAAAGTCACAGACAAACAAAAAACTTATAATTGGACATTTATTGGTCTTCTTGTTTCGGCCGCTTTCTTTCGGTTCACTTATTATGCGATTGGGAGTGCTGAAGTTTTTGACACAATTGAATGTTACGTGTTTATATGTACGCGCTTCGAAAATAATTTCTTTTTATGCCCTTGCGCCGAGCATTTTCACATTGTGGAACCGTAAAGTTAAATAAATGTACGCACTTTAAATTTATTTTAATAGTCTCAATATTTGAGTTCCACTTGAGATATGCAAAAGAGAAATCTCTTAGCACATATTAGGCAAATATAAACGATTTATTGGACATTTGCATGCAATTTATGCATATGAGCAAAGTAAACCGAAGTTTTGAAGCAGCCAAAACGAAAAGAAGGGCCGAGCCTTGAGCACGGAAACCGGCTCATCCGAGATGGATATTGTTTCAGATGAGGTTGAGTACGATTCGAGCGAGGTTTTCTATGGGATTCCTAATAAATCGAATTTTGTTCACGGGAACCAGCGAAACCGGTTGAAACTATATTTTCAAGACGACCCACCGTTTAATGTGGCGCACCGCAACTGTCTGATGCCGAAAATGATAACTCGCATCTTCACTTCTTTTTATCAATAAATAAATCCATTAAATTTACAATTTTTTGCAATTTGTTTGCTTAATGTTCAAGGCATTACGAATAAATAATCAACGCGGTTCTTGCAAAGCCTATCTCTTATTTGCAATTGTTTTCTTGAGCCCAAGACAAACAACATGGTTGGCCAGGTGTCATTAATGCCAATGTGTCAGCGGTTAATGGCCAAGATACGCCAGCCGAAATTGCAAACTTCTGGCTAAATAAGGGTTATAACAACAATGTTGGTTAAGATTGCGTGCGACGGAAACAACTCGCTGCCGAAGCTGAAACACTGCACCTAATCGATGTCACATATGTATATTATGTGCATGTGGGCCATTTATCAAGGGATCCCAAAAGTTATAATCGGAGTGTTGAACTTTCGAATGCTGGTTTTTTTGTCCGAATTACCAACTGGTTTTATTCAGCGGCCCAAAAGGGCCGTGAAAAAGTTATACCGTGAGTAAGGTGTAAAAGTCTTTAACTTTTTTGTATTTTTTTAGTCCGAAGTTAGTTAGTTACTGGAGGACTTAACGCTAAGACCAGAACGCGTCGCGCGGTCAATACAAACTGAAACCGAAACGAAAACCGTGTGCGAATCTTTTTCCCGTTACAACAAAGCTTTCCATTAAGCTGAGCTTACAAAACGGAGCTCAGCAAGTAAACGCGACGAAAGCTCGCTTGGCATTTGTGCCATTTGGAATGTAGGCAAGCAATTCGGTAACCAATTTGGCGGGTAGAAAACAAAACAAATCCCCCAAAATGTTATTCAATGAGCGGGAGAACAATTGAGCCACTGACAAACCGGTTTGTTGTATTAGATTTAACTCATCATTGCCCGGGTACTAAATCTTCCCAATAAATCAGCTTCGAATCGATCTGGCATTCATAAAAAAAAGCATTAATTTCCTTCTGAATTCGAATGAATTCTGTGTCGCCAGAGCAACGTAGGTTCACCTCCAGCATTCCGGTTCGAGTTCAAGAATATACCCACAAAGCCGTATTCTATAAAATGTACTATGCAAAGCAGGAAAAGGTAAATTCTCGCCATAGTTAAATGGCAGTTGCATAAACCCGACACTCATGAATAGAACGTCAAGCGGCTTTGATCTCGCCTCTGTAAATACAGTAAAGCTACTTAAGTTCACTTGAGCTCAAATAAATAAATCACTACAGCGTTTACAATTGTGCACATCAGAAAACTCTACAACGAGTGTAATGTAATTTTTATTAATAGTGGCAAATTAGATAAAAAATAATCACCTCCCTATTTAGTAATCTCATTTTTAAGTGCTCCAGTTAATTGCTTTCAGAGTTTTTTTGACACGTACTCGCATATTTGTTGTATTAAGCCATTTATTTCAAAAGACGGCGCTAATATAAGTCAAATGGGCGTATACGTAACGAGATTGTAAATTCACCGACCAAATGTTAGCCTGTAAGTTCTTTTAGCCAAAAATAATTTATGTATTTGCAAACATATTCACCTATTCATATTCTGGAACTGATAATATATATAATATACATATAATATGTGTTATTACACCTGAAACACTGCATTGCACTGTACCTTTGAGTTTCAGTTTGGTGTTTGCCTGTGGAATTTGCTTATTTGTTCATGGGCGTGAAAATATAATTACTTGGATAATTGTGAAAACAAGCGCATCTTTCGCACAGTGGCAATGAACTTCTAACGCAATCTGAATGATAAGCTTAATTGCAAGAAGCTAAGGTCGAAACGAGTCCAGATTTTGATAAGCGTGTCTGTATCGATTAGTACCACAATAAACCCTGTGAAATTTTTGATATGGCCGAGTGACGTTGACGAGGGTACAATATTGCACTTCTATTCGAGCTGAATTTCGTATTACAATAGGTAAAAGTGTTGATTCAAACGAGTTTTGTTTAGCCAGGTACTTCCTTTTCCACTCAATTTCCGAGCTTAACATCTTTTTGAAGGTCGTGGGATGCTGAATACGGGAGAAATGCCTGTGCAACAATTTGAACTTTACGTTTTGTGTGCGCTTATACACGTGATCATTGTTTTCAGCAGTGATTTATGTTTTTGACGCACACACAGACAGTTTGTCTACTATTTTGGTTTTAATTATTGTTCGTCATTTTCAACTCACAATTAACGGAAATGTGAAATTTAAATAACTTAAAGCATCAGCCGATTATATAAGCAATACCGCGCAGTGGGTCACTAATGTATTTTTAAACTCTCCCATTCCCGTGCGTTTTCTTATGATCTTGGTAACTAATCACTCTTACATTGCGGGTACTTGCCGACTTATATTTCGGCGCAAACGGGCTTCTGCCATTTTGGAAAATCCTTGTATTTAGTCAATTGTATCCAATATATCCATGCGTGGGTCTTGAGTTCCAAAGGCTTACTGAAATTTTCAGCCCATAATTTTGTACTAAACAGCCAAAGAATTGTTGTTTTACAAATTAGCAAACGTATGCTAATTTATTGGATCAGCACAAACGCCCATGCATTCGAGTGGTGAGAGGCGAAGTTTTCTGTTAAGCTGGCAGTGCTTGGTACAGATTTCACTGAATTTTCATATATTTTACATATAAAATTTAAATCAAATTTGTCTATAAAACGTATTTAATTACAATTTTGTTAATTGCTTACGGCAAAAAAAAACCGTTACCAGTGCTGCCATGCTTTTTTTTTATATTTTAGCCGAATGCGTTGCCAGATCAACTGATGAAAACGTATGCTATCGATTGTCAGCTGAAAAAAAGCTAATGTTCCGATTGTTACCGCGTTTTCGTAAGTTTCTAGGAAGAATCCGTAATTAAGTGAAATATCTGAACTAAGCTAAACTTTTTGAAACAGGAAAACTGTGTATAATGTCTGGAGGAACCCCACCAAAACGATCTCCCCTTTGGATAGGCACCCACAGCGGGACTTTTCACTGCGATGAGGTGGTCGCATGTTTTATGCTTAAGCAATTGGATGAGTATAAAAGCGCAGAGATTTTCCGCAGTCGGGACAACAAAGCTTTGCAGGAGAAGTGCGACATAATAGTTGACGTGGGCGGCGTTTATGATCATGCCAAGAAATTGTACGATCACCACCAACAAACCTTCAAGGAAACTTTTAGTTCCATTCGCCCAGAAGTAAGCGAGGATTTCAACGTTATCAGGTGAATTTGTGGTGTTAGTCCAAAGGAAACCATATAATCCAATGTAATCTCCTTCAGGCTAAGCAGTGCTGGACTGGTTTACAGTCACTATGGGGAGCGTGTCATACAGAGCATCCTGCAGCGCGAAAAGGGAATAAAACTCTCACCGGAGAACCTGCAACTGGCCTTCCTTCAGATCTATAGGAATTTTATCTGCGAACTGGACGCAATTGATAATGGAGTATCCATGTTCGAGGGCGCAGAGCCTATATACAAGATTTCCAGTCATCTATCCTCCCGCATTGGTAAGCTGAATCCCTCCTGGCAGGAAACTGGCGTGGACATTGAAGACCGATTCAGACTGGCGATGGATACTGCCGGTCGTGAGTTTGTGGACAACGTTTTGGAGGTGTGCTGTTCCTGGATGGCAGCCCGGGATCACGTACGAGAGGCTCTGAACAACGCCAAAAGCGTCTATCCAACCGGTGAGATTCTAGAGCTGAAGAATTTTTGTCCCTGGAAGTCTCATCTGGCTGATCTTGAAAAAGAGTACAAAGTGGAGGGTGTGCCCAAGCTGGTGGTCTTCAACGACGGCAGCAGTTGGCGAGTGGCCGCAGTTCCAGTGGCGCCTAGCAGCTTCAAGTGTCGCAAATTCCTACCTATGCCCTGGTGGGGACTAAGGGATGATGAACTAAGCCATAAAGCCGGCATCAACGATCTAATATTTATCCATCACACCGGATTTATTGGCGGGGCAAAGACCAAGGCGGCTGCCATGTTGTTGGCCAAGAAGTCCATTGAGTGGACAGAAGAGCAATAATATAATACAACTTAAAGCAAAATATCAATTGTAAAATAACAGAACGCAAATATGTAGGACTAATGTTATATATGTACGTTTTATAGAAGAGAAATCCGCATATATTGTACCTAAACAAATTTTATTTGTATGTGTATTTCGGTTAATGTTGTATACAAAATCACCAAGGAAACTCCTAACATCATCTAGTCCATGCGGGTCTTCAGTGTGCGCTCCGTAATCTTGTCCTTCTCGATAATGTAGACGGTGGCACCCCAACCGCTCATGGCGTCGCGATCGAAGGCGTTCACAATGGACTGGGCGATGACCTCGAACAGCTGGTCCGGCTCCAGATCGGGTTTCCATAGGGTTTCACACATGCCATACAGTTGCTCCGCGCAGGTGCCGGCCACTACGAAGTCGTCGGGGGCGTTGGGGCAGCCGATCAGGTCCATGTTGCAGATAAAAGGCTCCATGGTCTTGGGATCCAGGCCGGCAACGACCGGCTCAATGAAGTATGGGCCAAAGCGATGTTCGTACAGGAAGCTGGACATCATGGCCGAGAAGGGCTTGGGGCACATTTCGCGATTCTCGCGTGTCTCGTACAGATTCTTGCGGAACATCAGGCGATCGCGAACAGTCAGGATGTCCGTCTGCAAGCCGGTGAGACCAAGGAACATCCGTGGGCCGATGTGAAACACCTTCTTGAAGTCCGTAGAGATCGTCTGAGCCTGAATGCCAAATCGGTGATCCGTGGCAATGGCCACGCAGTCCTTACCGCGCATGGCCACTACACATCCTCCGTTGTAGGCTAAAATCGACATGGTGGCGGTGCTGCTCGCTCAGCTCAATTTAATCAGCAGGAAAATGGAAATTTTGCAAAATGCTAAACGCCGCCTGGGAAGATGACTTTTTGTTTCTGCTCTGCGTTGCCAGACAATGAGTGTGAAATGGGCTAATATTGACTGGCTGCATACGACTAAGGTGGCAACGCCTGCTAAAGGGATTTAAAATATTTTATAGCTAGTATTTTTAATTGGTTAGTAGGAGTAAAATAATGGTCAAAATTAAATTGGCCAGGTCAAAATAAACCAGAGAGTGTTAAAACGTATATAATTTATCATTTAATTATTTTTAAGTAATAATACAACTAAATGTCACTATTTTTCCTATGAATACTAGCTATTTGGCTTTCAGTGTGACCAAACCGCGCTAACCAGCTGGATTTATTTTCTTCTGCGGCAAAGGCCACTTTGTAAGGGCCCCTTATTTATAGAAAAATTAAACTCTATTCCTTAAACTTCCAGTTGTTCCGACTGAACCCAATGATCTGGTGGAGCTAGGTGCGTTTACCTTGTCCTCCTCTTGTCAATGCAACGTCTACAGTCGTGAGCAGCCAACATCATCAGGAGACGACAATCTTGCACAATCGTCATCAGAGCCGTTGCCAAGAAAATAAAGGACCTCCCGCAGGATGGCAGAAGCTATGGTGGTGGAGGACCGCCCCGCGGAAACCAAGCGATTCTTCTGCCACATGTGCAACGTGGAGATCAACATTCCCAACTCGGACTTCACCTGCCCGCTTTGCGCCAATGGTTTTGTGGAGGAGCTGCCGGCAAATGCGCCGGAGATGGGTTCGTCGGCAGCTGGAGCATCCGGCAGTGCCAGATCCGGAAGCAGCGGTAGTGGTTCTTCTGGCTCACACGACACCCTGAGCAGGGCCAGCTCCTCGAGCGGATCTCAGGTGAATGTGGAGTCGCTGCGTAACGATATTGTGTCACTGCTGAACATGCGGAATGTACCCAATCTGGAGATTACCATCGAGCCAAACAGACGGCACAGCAATGTGCTGCACCTAGGTGGATTTGCCAATCCCTCGGGTAGTGACTCTGCTCGCGGCCTAACCGCCGGCGGACGAGTGCGTCCGGCCAATCTGGACCGACTGGACAATGTGCTCTTTGATTTTCTGCAGAGCCTGCCTCTGGCCGGCGCCACAGCCGAAATAGTAACTGGACCCGGTGGAGGAGGAGTCGGCGGCGGCGGCAATTCGCACATGTTTTTCATGGGCAACCCAGGAGATTATGCGTGGGGCCGCGAGGGACTAGACACCATTGTCACCCAAATGCTTAACCAAATGGAGACTTCAGGACCGCCGCCATTATCGGCGCAGCGCATAAACGAGATACCCAATGTGCAGATCAGTGCCGAGGATGTGAACCGCAAGATCCAGTGCTCCATATGCTGGGACGACTTCAAGATTGACGAGACGGTACGCAAGCTGCCCTGCTCGCATCTGTACCACGAGAACTGCATCGTGCCATGGCTAAACCTGCACAGCACCTGTCCCATCTGCCGCAAGTCACTGGCAGACGATGGGAGCGATGCGGACGACGAATTTGTCATGCTCGATGGCTTTGCCCCAGAGATGGCGGCCGATGGCCGATGGAGCTCCGCCAGGAGCTCGGCCAGCACCGTCACAGGAACGGACAATCCCTCGCCGGCCCAAAACACCAGCCAGGCCACGGCGGAAGGTGTCCGAGCACGTCCGGATGCTAATCCCGCCCAGGAAGCACGGAACAACATCTTTACCTTTGACGACGACAACATGTTTTTGGACTAGCTGGTAGAGCGATGCTAAATCGAAGTGGAGCGATGTTCGATTGATATTCAAAATTAAGCCAAATATTGGCCGCGGCTTTAGAAGTATAGCCCTAAAACATAATTAAACATATATATTTATAATAGTTTCTCCTCACGCTTAATTTTGTTGTTGTTCAAAATAACGATTTGTAATAAACAAAACGGGACATACGATTCCGTTGGCTCTGCAAAAATCAACTACTGTTTATCGTATTTGCTTATTTTTTTAAGTAATGGAACTCGTATTGTATTATGCTTGTCACTTATACATAATAATAGTATAATAATAATAGTAAATAGGCGCTGACTCTGTGCTTGCCTCAAGAAATTCCTTTTGTTGCATTATTTCAATTAACTGCTGCACGAATATTTAAAAGCGTGCATAAAAAGTAAACGTAAAACAAAAGTAATTCTGTTGTCTGTGAAATACTTTACATAAAAAGTTTTGATTGTAATATAGATACAAAACTTATTACTATTTTAAAACTTTATTAGTCAACAAGAAACACTTTTTTATTTTTTTAATGCACTTAATCAGCAATATGTTTGAAGCATTTGTTTTAATATTTTTGTCTCCTTTTCTTGTCTGATCCTGGTTGAGAACCTGGACAAGTTTTAAAGAAATCCTATTGGTTTATGCGGTCTGGTCATACTATTCCGGGCAGCATATGTTCCCTACAAGGTGGCATCTCCGTCAAATTGTTTAAATTCCTATTTGACTTAAATCCCAACTTAACCGTTTAACAACTGCGCCAAAATGCGCCAAGTCAATTGAAGTGAAGAATACAAACCCGTGACCAAAGAATGAATGCGACACACGAAGGAAATAACGATTTTGTGGTCCTCACAGACGTGGTATATCCAAATATATAACCTGACTAATTTCTGCTGTGGAAGCTTTTGGCAGTTCCTAACTTTTGTTTATTTACGAAACTGCTTAGGTGCATAAGCAATATGTGCTCTATTTGGAGCGCCAGCTGCAGGAGAATGTCTGTGCCTGGGCCAACCAATCCCGTAATCGCCACAAGCCCACTGCCTGGTCCTGCATTCCCGCGAGCTTGGAGCAACTGGATGACAAGGCGAAGAAGGCGTGCATGGCTGCACAGATCTACCAAAGAGCCATGGTCAAAACGGTACAAGTATCTGCGATACATATGTATATAGAGCAATGTTTATACCCTACGTTGTATACCCTCAGATAGCTGCGGTACGGAGGAACACCCAGGAGTGCCGTTTGGCCAACATTCTTTTTGAACAAATGCAGCTTGAAGCTGGAGAGGATGTTGTGACCATGGGAACTGACCGCCTCCTGGTGGATAAGGCCACACAAACAACTGATATAGAAGCTCAGAATGGTCACGTCTCTCCTACGGAGGAGCATGACGGTGGTAGCTATGAGCTGCGTAGAAAAATCGATATGTTTCAGGCTAGCCTCGAACGGTCGGAAGTTCAGAAAGAAACGTCCTGTCCACGTTGTCGTAGTGAGATCAAAAGTCCAGAGCACAAGCCACTTGCCAATCATGGATCACCCTATTCCGAAACCGAAGACGCTGTGGCCCAGGAGCTGGCTATGTTGTTTGGCGACGAGCCCACTGATCTTAATCATATATTCGGCATCGAACCAACAGCTGTTACTGACGATCCGCAGATCTCGGCCATACTGAAGGAAATAGCGAACGCGGAACTGCCTGCAAAAATTGAAGACCCTCCCACATCTCCAACCGCCACACCTCCAACTGGGCATTACAGTGAGGTGGATCTTCGCCAGAGTCGCTGGCCTTGCGAACTCTACGCCCAGAGGAGACGGCTCAATGCCTGTTTGGTGCGCTTACTGGAAGCGGATTGGCGGTGCGAGGATCGCTTGAGATATAAGTTTCAGCTGTTTTTTGGCGAAGACAGCGATGATGAGTTCGTCAACCAGTTATCCAGCCCGTCAATTGATCTAGTGGACGAAATTCTGCTGGCCAGCTGCGTGCTTCGTATACGCCCATGGATTGTACGACATTTGATGTCTCCTCTCGCAGAGGGCCTTATCGCGAATCGATTTATTTTCAAGAAGCTAGCCAAGATGCTAGCGCACTCCATTGTCATGGTCAATCCATATTGCACGGAGCAGGAGATCAAGCAGGCTGTGGAGCACTTGTTCTGCCTTAGACCTAGAGGAGTTCAAAGCGCGTATGATCTGGATCATCTTCCACCATTGGATGTCCCAAAATTTGAAATTTAAGAACAACGTATGGATTTTCATTTTAAAAGCCTCATACAGATATGTAGATGCAAAAAACTATGACCCTCAGGAGAATAATAGTGTTTACGAATGATTATAAGCAATAAGAAAGGTATTTTCAATTGAACTTACATCGAATTTATCAACTTTAGTTTAATACTCAAATATAAAACTCTGTAAAAAAGTATGTTTTATAAATGAAAGCCACATCCAACCGATAAAAATTGTGGGTCGAATAAAGCCAAAGCACAGTCTACGTTATGTGGTTTGTTTAAATTATAATTAATTCAATGATTACAATAATTTTCCTTGCTGCACATCTCATCTCTTTATAATTATATAAATTTTAATATATTTAATAAACGATACATAATATAGTTTTCCTTTTGACGAAATTGCTGCGGCGGTTGCGTCAGCAACTGCTTAAGACGATTCGGATTCCTACAGAGCAGCAGCTATCCCCCACTCCGGTTGTTACTTTAACGGCTGTGTTGGTTCGAGTTCCATCTGTTGTTGTTTCGCTTTCTGCTTCCTTTGCTGTTGCGGTGTTTCGTGGTGGTGACAGATTTGTTGTGGCTGCTGCAGCTACATTGGGTGTGGTTGCTGTTACTTTTGTTGTTGATGCAATTTGTGGTGATCATCATCAGAGGCACTACCTAGTGTCGGGAATTTGATTTGTGTTTGCCGCCGTCGCTGCATTAGCATTCTGTTTGTATTTTTGCTGAGACGCTGCCGGATTTCCCGTGGATTGCTGCTGCTGCTGCTGTGGCTGCTGCGAGCCCGTGGCCATCTCTCCTGGCGGCGGACGTCCGCTGCGCCTCTCGATGCCTCTATCAGCTGTTGGCTTAGTGCCAGCTCCACTAGCACCCCCACCTGGGGCTGCAGTTGCTCCTGCTCCCCCCAATCCTCCGCCCACTCCACCGATTCCTCCGCCTCCTGTACCGCTCGTTTGTGTTGTGTTGGCCTTTTTGTTTTTATAGCGATACTCGTCGCAAACAAAGTCCTCTGGCGAGGTTTGTTGCATTTGATTCACCTGTCGCACCATCGCCTGCTGTGGCTGTTGCTGCTGCTGCTCCACATCGGCATTGTTGTTCAACAGCGTTTCCGCTTGCGCCTCGGCCTCGGCATCCTCTTGCTGCTGCTGTTGCCCCTTATTTACATTATCACTCTTGGCCAGGCTCTCGTCGGAGGCATTTAAATCCAGTGCCTCAGTGCAGAGCATCGATAGCATCAGCGACTGCACAAACATTGAGCTACAAGTAAATGTATTAGAGTTAATGATCAATGGTTCCAGGAAAATAACAAATTTCTAAATAGATACGTTGCTTTTTAGCCATGTGGAAACACTCACCGATCTGCTCGCATACTCTCCACGATCGCCCATTCGGCCTCTGTGAAGGTGGGCTGCATGAATTGGGCCAGCAAGAGTGACTCGCCAGCTGCCGCACCACCCTGACCTCCGGTCTGTCCAGCTCCACCGGCTCCAGTTCCCACACCGGATGAACCAGCTCCACCGTTGCCGTTGGCCGTTCCGCCGACGCCCACGCTGATGCCCAGGACATTGCTGGCTGCACTGCTGCTCGTTCCGATCGCCTGCAGAACAAGACATGGGGGATTAGTGGACATTTGACTCAAGATATGCTGGCCAACGGGATGAACTACTTCTCTGGCATTGAGGCTGTTGGCGGCCAGACTCGACTGAGTCTGCGAATGATTGCTGGCCGATGTCGAGAAGCTTGCTGTCACCGGCCACTCGGTGCGCAGGTTGGGCGGAGCAGTGGCCCCGCTGCCGCCGCCACTGCCGCTTCCAACTGCGCCACTGCCTCCACTACCGCCCGTTCCACCGTTGATCACCTCGGCCATGGCGGCATTCGAGTTCGATGTTGAGACTATGGGATGCGCACGCCTTGGCAGCCGATCGATTTGGCGCGATGCCTAAAATAATGCAAGCGCAAAACCAAGACAACGAAAGTCGCAGTTTCCTTATACACACAAATATAATAGATATGGGGTGAGAGGACTCTCCCTTACCGTCACCTGCTGGCGATCCAACTGCATCTGCATCTGTAGCTGCTGCAGCTGAGATGTGGGCGGTCCGCCCCTCCGCACGCCGGAAAGCTGCGACAACAGTTCCGCGATGGGATCCACCGATTCCCGTCCCGAAGGCGACAAGGCTGACAGACCGCTAGACGAACTGAAGTGCATGTTGGACCGACGTGTCCGTGGTCCACCGAGGGTGCGTCCTGGGATGCGACGCACTCCACCGCCATGACGGATGGCCGAGGGCTCGTCGTATTGTCTACAGGTTAAGGCAACCAATTGATTGGATTTATAAATTTAATCTTATAACTAGCTGAAATGTTAGTACAAAAATGCCTTCGGCTGCATCGCAAATTTTTAAAGGCTTTTCTGGCTAGCTAGCGGCAAGTGCATTACCAACACGTAAATGGCTCGTTACAGGGTAGTCAATAAAATTGTAGACTGTTTATTACGACAATAAAATGAGTCTACATAAATAAACGGCATATCATTTCCAGAACCGAATTCAACTGCCTGTCATACGAAACATCAGACCAAATAAACTACACTTGCGAAAATGATCTAATAATATGACTAATAATGCGTTGCGAGTGCTCAAGATTTTCATGGTGTTACATTTTGATTCTCGGACGGACGTTAGCTTTTTAGAAAAACTGTTTAAAATGAAATTTCAACGTAGTCTTGGGATTTAAAATTCGCTATTTTTGAATAATAAATACTAAGAACAAGCCTTTGGTATGGATGCAGTTGGGCATTGTAGTGTTGCAGTGTTTGATGCGTCTGTTTGAAAAAGGATATCAGAAAGGAAATCAGCTCGCGCGGGCCCTGGCGATGCTCCACGGTGAGGTGACCGGCAAAGTCATCTGTGACTAGATTCGGCTCGCCGCCCGGCAGACCGGCACAGACCGGGCAGACCACCTCCAGACTGGTCTCCGTGTGCTCGGCGGAGACGTGCTCCAGCAGGGTGGCGTCGCTGAAGCCCATCTTATTGCAGTAGGGACAGGTGAAGCTCTGCGGCTGGTCCGAGGTTAGTATCTCGCCGCCGAAGTACAGCTCAATATCGGAGCGGGTGAGGATGCACTGCATGGGATGCTCGACCAAATGGCGCGTGGAGGTGACGCTATCCTCGTAGCAATCGGCACACAGGTCGTAGTCATAGCAGACCAAGCACTTGTAGCGCCGTCCGTTGAAGTTGCTCTTGAGACATGAATCGCAGCTGACACCTGTATTGTGGATTGAGTGGTTACTATCAGGGTTTCCGGATGCTCCAAGGACTCACCTTCATGTCGACTCATTATTCGGCAGCGGCAGTAGGCTTGGCTTCAACTTCCAAGCGATCAGGAGAGCGTCTCCCGCTTAAGATTGAATTGCTTTTAACTTCGAGCTATGTTCTGGTTTTATGTGGGTTCCTTGCGGGCTTCGGATTCGGAGGATTCCAGGTATTGAATTTAGATTAAGAGGATCTAAAAGAAAACAGTAGCTGAAATAATTCATCAGTAGTTCTACCCTCACATTAGAAAGGTAGTAAGGTAAAGCATGATGGGATTCCTGTATTGGGATTAAAGGTAACTGAAATTCCAGTGTAAGCATTGCAGGAGAAAGGACATGGCATTTCCTTCTTTTGTTTTCCCTGCGCTTTCTTAGTTCTCTTCTTTTGTATTGCCCACGATTACGGTTCTTTCTTTTCGACATTCCGTTTGCCTTGCGAAAGGCGGTGGGGAGAGGCACACAAAAAGAGAGGGGCCTCCCTGCACTCGCCCCCCGCCGCAACCCCCTCAATGAGGCAACGAATTATTCAATACAATCGAACGCGAGCCATCGAAAAATTACACTTAACACTGGGACGTCCGCGCGGCGTCGAGGGGTTAATTGCGATTTTCCCCGCAGTCGCGATACCGCTGCACAGTAAACATTTATTTTTAACTTTTTCGGTTTCGCGAAAATTTTCAACTCGACGATGTCGTGGGCTTTTTGTGCACCCGCCTCTGTCCCCTCACCGAAACCCTCTTCTCCTGGCCCTGCTCCCGAAAAGCAAAGCGCAGATATGCGCGGGTGTTGCCGTATTTACTGGGGGGCTCCCGTTAGCGAATGCCGATAATTATTACTTATTATTATTAAAGCGATTGTTTATAAACATTTGCAGCTACTACACACACACGGGGAAATATGCAGACTTTTCGTGTTAATCATGCCATGAGCACTCATTGGTGAATTACGCTTTTTCTCACACACATCTGGCAACGCCGCCAGCCATGGGACAGTGAAGGCCGTGCAGATAGACACAGTCCTCTTTTTGGTAAGAAGAGCTTTTGAAAGAACTTTGGGCAGACAGGCTGATTTGGGCAGCTGGGAAATAACAGTAGGTCTGTTTTAGTTTGTCACTATTTATATGCTAATGCGTCGTCTCTATCTTGCTTTTGTTTTTCGGCACATTATTCATCGGCGCGCAATTTTCATGCACTCATCTTGACATATACACAAGCACTTTGCGCTGGTGTGCTATGTGTCTATGTGCAGACACCAATATGTGTATTCTGTTCTACGCAATTGCAAATTGCGCCTGGGATCTGATCTCTTTTGTTCGCCGCGATTTTTCGCATAAGATGCTCCGTTCACGACGTGTTATTGTTGTTGTGGGTGCTGCTGTGTTGCAGGTTTACCGTTTTGTTACACACCGATTTCGTTGTGGATTTGGTGGGTTATTGATTTGTTTTATTTGGGGATAACACGACAACGTACTTCACTTTGGTGCGGCATTGGCTATTTTATGGTAACTCTATGACACTAGCCCTCGAAAATGAACAATTGAAACGAAAATAAGTTATATTATATCGAGTGAAAAGCTTTTCCTGACCTGCAGTGTGACCGCTTGCTGCTTGAACGCAAAATACCGAATGTCGATAACTACCACGGTTTATATTTATCTGATAATCCACCCCTGGAAAATTCCATTCTCTCAATTATTTTCTTTATTAAAATTGCTTTTCTTAATCCTCTAGCTTTTCTGGTGGCGGTCCACATGGCTGCAGCATTCGTTCCATCAGATTGAATCGCACTCGTGCCTTCGATTCATTTTCTGCAATGGCAAAGTAGTTCAGAATATCGTAGTGACCCATGTAGCTGGCCAAGGAGTCGCGATGTTGATTCGTTAGCCACTCGAACTTGGTGGTATCTGCGTGTCCTGTTCCGATGTACTTGCTCTGCAGATGCTCCAGCTGGCTGTGGATGTTGTAGCGTTCACCCATTTTGTCTTGGTTATTTCAGTGTTAGCCGAAAAAATAATTCAAGTGCAGTGCGTTATTTTGTTATTTGTGGCTCAGTGTGCCCAGAAAGTAAGTAGGTCGGTATTTTAGTACGTATGGTACTTAAGTATTTTAGTACACTGGCGGTAACATTGGTATTTAAATTATTGCTTAATATTTATTTACATTCTGCATCGGTCAGTTAACTATTCATTTAATAAGTTATTTGTTGAGAAATGTGTGGACGCACCTGCTTGTAAGTACATCAATTTTGATATTTAAAATTCCATTAAACGCCGCTTCAGAACTCTAGACCCTGATCAGGTTATCTGTGCCTGTAAATATCCTAAGAAAACAACAAGACAGGAGCCCGATTCCAAAGAGGAAGATGATTTCAAGGATGAGAAAGAATCGAAAATGGAGACACCCGAGTGGCGGGCGGAGTTCAACCTGGGAAGACGCTACCAGGCCTCCTATAACATAGCGCCCACCGATATTACGCCCGTGATCGTGTCCGCAGCTCATTTCTCAGACGCCGAGGATCAGAAGTGCGCCCGCGTGGTAATGCCCATGATGTGGGGCATGATTCCCTTCTGGCACAAGGGTGACTACCGGCGGCATGGGCTTACCACCAACAATTGCCGGCTGGAGCACCTGATGGACTCCAAGCTGTATCGGGGTCCCTTCAAGCGGGGTCAGCGGTGTGTAGTTATTTGCGAAGGATTCTATGAGTGGCAGACGGCTGGACCGGCAAAGAAACCATCGGAGCGAGAGGCTTACCTGGTATTCGTACCCCAGGTGGGAGATGTGAAGATCTACGACAAGAGTACGTGGTCGCCGCAGAATGTGAAGCTTTTGAGAATGGCTGGACTTTTTGACGTCTGGGAGGATGAAAGTGGCGACAAGATGTACAGCTACAGTATCATCACCTTCCAGTCCAGCAAAATCATGTCCTGGATGCACTATCGCATGCCAGCGATCCTGGAAACCGAGCAGCAAATGAATGTGAGTACAGGAACTGCCGCATTTGCTAGCCTTCCCTAATCAAAGTCCAATTTGCCCATGATCGCATCTTCTAGGATTGGCTGGACTTTAAGCGAGTAAGCGATACCGAAGCCTTGGCTACATTGCGGCCGGCTACCGAACTGCAATGGCATCGAGTAACCAAGATGGTGAACAACTCGCGAAACAAAAGCGAGGAATGCAACAAACCAATCGAATTGGCGGCTAAGCCCGCAAAGCCAGCGATGAACAAAACCATGATGTCGTGGCTGAATGCCCGTAAGAAGCGGGAAGATGAAATTAAAACGGAACAGAGCGACGTCAGTGATGGGGAGAATCAGGAAAAAGAAGGTGCAACCAAGCGACGGACCTCCGCTGACGGTTCACCCGTTGCCAGTCCGGCCAAGCGACCCAGATTCAGGGACTTAAAGAGCGCAGCTCTGAAGCAAAGCGGCAACACAAGCGATAGCGAGGTTAAATTGGCCGAAAGATAAACCTGAGCAGTAATTAAACTTCCATAGTTGTAGTACATTAAGTTTATTTTCATTAAAAACCAAAATTTTTATTTTCAATACCCAAAGTTTTAAGCATTATCATCGTTGTGGTTGCTTACTTACAAATGTTGGGACTTAGCGACTAAAAAGTTGTTTAGAATTTGTTCTCTCGAAGTGAGCTTAACTAATTAATGTAATGTTTGAACTTGACGTAATTAAATGGTCTTATTTGAGTGAGTGCGATATCATTTTGAGCGCCACTGTATTGAGCTTGGAAGTTTTCGTTGTCGCGGCATAAAATGCAATTAAAACAAAATGAAAAGCTGCACATATAGCATGTGTACATATATACTGTTTGCTCGTCGACTTCTGATTGCATTGGCGAAAAATGAGCAAAAATTAATGGGAAACGGTGTCAATGTTGTTCGCGGGGAAAAGCGTGGAAGTGGTGCACTTGCTGTGTTGCTTACAATTATCAATTTGTGGTATATTAGGCTACGAATTTAATATTTATATATTTATACGTTGCATGAACCTTGAAATGCTCATTGACAAATACAAATGAATACTCTGCACACAGCGTGTCACTCATAAACTTAATCCTAAAGAATCGATGAGAAAGTTTAGAATTCATAGGCTATATAGCGGTGTAAACACATTGCCTTTAGTTACGAACAATCGTAAGGCCTTAATTGTAAATACTTTTGAACGGCCAATAAGCGGGTTAAGTGGGGGCGGGTTGGGTTAATGGATACGGGAGGTGGAAGTGAAGACGTAGCACACAAAAATAAAGATATCTGAATCGTGTACGTGACTACCGCTATGTACTTAAAATGCTATTTACGAGATTACAATTTGCATGCGTTTGGCTGAATTATTTCAACAATGTAAGATGGATTGCACTTGAGAAGTGGTTAAGAGAGACACAGACTAAGTGGGGGTAGTGGGAATCGAAAGAAATGGTCTGGGGATTACTCAAACGGCGTGCTGAACATGTTGATATTCAGATCCTCAAACGTGGTCGGCGTGTGATCCAACATCTGCAGCATATCTGAGAACTCCTGACCCTGCGGCTGTCCTGCACCTGCCGGTCCCCCGGGATGAGCGTGTGGATGGTGCGGATGCGCCGTTGGGTGTGGGTGCGGCGGATGCGGGTGACCTCCAGCCTGCTGCCAGTCCCACATACCCGGAGCATTGGGCGGCGGTGGTGGACCCGCCTGATATGCTCCTGGTTGCGCTTGCTGGCGATTTCCATTCCCGGCACTCAATTGTGTGTAGGTTGGACCACTCGGCGATCTGGCCGGACTCGTCTGCTGGTACTGATAGCCTTCGGTCACTGGCTGCTGCTGCTGTTGCTGCTGGGGACGCAGTGCTGCCCAGGAGTTTGGTGCCACTGGCGTGGGAGAGGTGCCGGACTTGGGTATCTTAGCCAACGGCGATGGTCCGCCAGCACTGTACGGCGAGTGTGTGGTGTCGTAAGTATATCCGACAGGTGTGGTTTGCGCCGATCCAGGCCGTTGCTGTTGTTGCTGCTGCTGCTGTTGAGGCGTAGGTGCCTGCATGGCCAGCATGTGCGTCTGGTACATGCCATCATTCGTGGCACTGCCCACTGGAGTTAGCTCGCGGCGTGCATAGTCCACTCCTGGGGCAGCCTGAACATAAACATGTTGTTCCTGCTGCTGCTGTTGTTGTTGCACTTGCTCAGGCGTATGTGCAGCCGCAGCATCCAGGGGAGCCCCATGCATGGTCTTTCCAGAACTGTTGGTGCACACTATATATTCCACTTCGTCGGTGTATGGATTCAGAAAGGCATAAGCCTGTGTGCGGAGCCAGACGTACTCCGAATTCTTAGCTCTGGCTCTGTACAAGAGCGAGAACATCTGCCCCTTTTGCTTGAGCACCTGGTCGAAGCTCTCCTTCATGTGGCTCTGGTCCTCGGGATGAAAGAAATCGTAGCAGATCTTCCCCAGCAGCTCAGTAGGAGTATATCCCAATATGTTAAGGACACGTTGATCCACAAACGTGAACTTGCCATCCATCGCGTGACGTGTGATGAACTCGCTCTGATTGTTCGATCCACTCATATCGTTGGCCGCCGTGGAGGTGACCTGCAGACGACCGATGGCCACCAGGCAGCAGTGCGAGCTCATGTCGTCCACATCGCGCTCCATATGCATGTTGGGAAACATATCGGTAGGCGGCCAATTCTTGATATAACCCGTGCAGTGAACCACGGCGTAGTTGGTGCCATCCCTTGAAGGTCCGAGAGAATTTCGTTGTTTGAGACGATTCAAGTGCCCAGAGACCATGGACTCTGGGTTTACATTGCCCACCCGCATGCGACAGATGAATCCACGACGAGCACCCATGCTCAAACGCATGCTGGACTGGTGGCCCTCCTTTTTCACAGTTCCCGATTTAAGGTCCAGGATGCGGCCGGCATTCTGCGACTCCTGGGTGGATAGTTGCTCGCGTATCTTCTCGCGGTCATCGGGATGAATGTGCTCATACAGGCTAGTGCCGTACCAATCGCTCTGGGTGTAGTTCAGCACGGGAGTCACCGAATCCGATACATAGATCACCCGACCCGAATCGCAGGATACCACGAACAAGAAACCATCGGCTGCCTCCAGGATAAGGTGCTTCAGCTCCTGGTCGGTCAGGAATGAGGGTTTGTAGGTGCCATCGCTGCTGGTGTTCCCGGTGCCACGCAGTGCCTTCATGTGGGCCACTGCCATGCGGAGTATGGTGAGCTTGTCCGGTTTGCGGGCGAGGGCACTGCAGGTGGGCACCATGTCCGAAAGTTCCGTGATGTAGGCGGTCATCTTGTTACGGCGACGTCGTTCGATCTCGCAGTGGTTCTCGCGGCTGGCGAACCGCTCCTTGTCCTGTATGTTCGCCTCATCCATGCTTGGAATGCGTAATTAGAAAACGTTCGTCGTAATTTGGGTCGCCTGTGCTCTGTGGAAAAAGGTTCGTGGAATTGAAAGAGGGGTGGGGTAGGGGTAGGGGTTAGTATTTTGTCTACGTCGTGAGTGTGTGTGTACACTTGCTGGCTGGCCAGAAAGTTAATTTCCCTCGCTTTTCTACCCTGCTACTCACAAATGGGGGGTGTGCAGAGGTACTTGGTTTATCCAGGCACTTTAATTCGACTGCTTTTATGCGCTTTTACCATTAATTCTGTACTTTTCTTTTACACTACACGATAAAATCTCTGTTTACTGCGCGAAGTGTGACCGTAGTAAGGTTTAACATATATACCACTGCAGTGTAAGCACTTCGATAACAATGCGCTAGGTGGCAACGCAGGTACATTCAATGAAAACCATGTGGCATTACTACAAAATTAGACCGTTAGACTTAAACATTACAACATTAAAAACAACCAATAATTATCAATTTTCAAACTCTAGCTATCTGTTAGCAACTAAGCCGTTTCAAGGACATAGCTAAATAAATTTACTTGTACTGTATTCAATTTAATTTCAGCTTATGTAAGCTGATCAGCTTATGTAATGATCAACGTCCATTTAAAAAAAAAACTTTTCCCAGAAAATAAAATCATAACAGTTTCTGATATTGTTGTCAGTATTTAATGGTATTACAGCATTGCGTTTTCTTACATATATCAAATATAATTTCATAAATACATTTAAATGTTTAGTCATAACTAGGCGCAGTATCGTAATTTTACGAACTATGATTCTTTAAAAAATTAAAAGTTAATTATCAATAGTGGCAATAACATGTCTTCATTTACTCCTATCTGAATGCACTCTTATAACAAAAATAGTAAGCTTGCGCTCCATTTCGCATTTTTCTTTGTGTTCTTTGCTTATTACATTTTTTCAGTTTTAATACAATCTTAGGTAAAGTTTTATCTGCTTTGCTTGTCCTTCATGTTTAATCTGCTTGGTATTGTTAATTAATTATTGGCAATTTTCTAACTGCATGGTTTATTTAGATGGGCATTCCATATTCCATTTTCCATATTTCATTCAAGCTGTTGGTACAACATACAAGTCTTTTGTTCTATGTTTATAGTTAAATATATTTAAATCTCCTTTAAAATACGTGCACTACTTAAGTGTAATTTAAAATGCGGCTTCATTAAAATTGCTTAGCGTGCTTAATACGTCTTATTTGTGGTGTCTTTGTTGGATGAAGTCCGGTTTAGATGTAACTTCAGCATAATTCGTTGACTAGAAATTAACTTAAGTACTTAGGGCTAGACTAACATTAGCTTAAACACGCTCTTGCAGTTTTATATTTTGGTTTACGTGCATAAGTGTTTTCCAATCAATCTTTGATCATCATTTTGTGCTGCAAACTTATTTGAGTTGCGTCGCTTTCCATTTCCTTGCTGGAAATTAGTCAATAATTGCTTCTTGTGATTTCATGTCAAATTAAGGTCATTCGAAGTTGCTGCAAGCTTAAACATAACTTTTCAAATCCGTAACAATTTTATTTTGCCTTTCAAAACATTTAGCACCAAAATGATTATTCGCCAAATAAAGAATCGTAATTTGTGTTTGATAAATTTGCACATCGTTTGGAATTTAGACATAGAGAAAAACTAAGTAAATTTGCAACAGCTTTCAATTAATTCAAATTTAAATTCAAAATACTATTAATTCTATACAATACTTTGGTTTTATAGTATGCAACGCGCAAATGCGCGGATCAAGGTTTGAAAAAAATTAAAAAACGAAGAAATCTTTCTTGGATTGAACAATACATAGTTTTGGCTCTGAGGCGCACTTACTTATAACATCACAAAAAAATTAAACATACGTGTATATGGTAGTGATAAATTAGGTGATAGTTTCGTACACTAATCTAGCTGCGTTAACTATCTCATCTTTAGTCTGCAAAAATAATGCCTATCTCTTCAATATAATATTCTTTGCGCACGATTGCGTTTAAAATGCAACAACTTGTGTGTATGGTATTATGTGTAGCTTTAGTAGGTTTGATTGCGAGTAAATGTTGCTTGGCTAGGAGACGCCCACGCCCTTTCTACGTGGTGTAGGTGCGGATGACATCCCGGATCACCGCGCGGCACAGTGGGCACTGGCC